AAAAAATATATTTGATAAATATAAGAAAAATCCTAGAAGCTTGTGTACCAGATATAATAGATTTTATCTCTGGAAACAGAAAGGCCAAGGAGACCATGTTTCATCCATATTATTTGAATATTTCCAACAAGAGTGCATTCACAAATTACTTGGGTAGATAAAAAATAAAGCAAATGTTTCCAGCTGCCAACTGATGTTTTTTATGTTTTATGTACTTGTGGTAAGTTTTCATATTTTTGTTCATCTTTTTAATTTCCTGTTTGCTTTTCTTATTTTTTACTTTACCTTTTTAAAATTAATTTTTCATAATTCCCATTTGTCCTTGATAACATATTTTTACTGTAACAAGTAACATGCCTGATTTTTTTTTGCTTTAATCTCATGTAATAAACATACACTTATTAACAAAAATCGAACTATACTATTTGCAATCTGCATACTTTTTAATTACATATTAGATCTTTTCATGTAAGTATCATAGTTTTACGTCAGTATTCGTAATGATTTTGTCTTATTCCTTTGCACAGATATATTAAAATCCTACAATGTCCTATTTTTAGATATTTATATTGTAGTCCAATTTTTTCTTTTTTAAAGATTTTATTTATTTATTTGACAGAGAGAGACACAGCGAGAGAGGGAACACAAGCAGGGGGAGTGGGGGAGGGAGAAGCAGGCTTCCCGACGAGCAGGGAGCCCGATGCGGGGCTCCATCCCAGGACCCTGAGATCATGACCTGAGCCGAAGGCAGATGCTTAACAACTGAGCCACCCAGGTGCCCCTGTAGTCCAATTTTTAATGTAATAATTTTAAGAAATATAAGTTTAGATTTGATTAGTTTATGTTTTTTTAAAAAGCTACAGTAGTGCCGGTTACTATCCAGAAAAGTTGCACTAATTTAAATTTGTAGTGTATAGGAATTCACGTTCCCCTTTCAATACAAGGAATCACTTTAGCATTTAAAAAAAATCTTTGCTATACGGTAAGAGAGAAATAGAATCATGTTGTTTTAATGTATCATTCTTTAACTATAAGTAAAAAAATGTTACTTATAACTATAAGTAAAAAAAGAAAAATAACTATAAGTAAATTTATATTTACAATATAAATATTTGTCTTTAATTCTTTAGTGAAGTAACTGTTCATGGGTATTCATTTTACCTACTGGGTTTTTATTTTTCTTATTGATATATAAGCTCTCTTTATATACTAAGGTTATTAGGTCTTTGCAACATATATCAGAATCTTTTTTACTAGGTCATATAACTTTAAACATTATCTCTAAGTTCTTATTTATTAAAATTAAGTAATGTGTCCCCTTATTGTTTTTTCCTTAGGATCACGGTTTAAACAATCACCCAAAATATACATGTAAGAAAATATAAATTCTCAAAGCACTAGCAGAGTTTTGATTTTTACCTTTAAATATTTAAAATATAAATAAAAAAATACACCAGGGTGCACTAAACATAAAAACATAAATTTAAAACATAATTTAAAGACTTTAATTCTCCTGGAATCACTTACTTACTTAATTTATATGCATACAGGTAGGAAATGAAATTTATTTTTCCCTATATGGTTATTAATTAATTATCCAGATACCAATAAATAAATATCATTTACCTATCTACTGTTTTGTAATACCATTTTCATTATATGCTAATTTTTTACATAAACTTGAGTTCATTTCTGAATGTCCCTTCCTTCCTTCCTTCCTTCCTTTATTCATTCAACCAATTTTTATTAAGGAAATATTATGTTCTAGGCACTGTAAGTGATACAGCAGCACTGAATACAATGGATGAGATCCTTGCCTTTCCTGACTTCTGTTCAACAAGTAGTCACAGGCAATGAACAAATTGGGATAAGCAGGAAGAAGAAAACGATGCCAAGTAATACAGCAGAGTAACATTGTGGACAGGAGGACAGCTATTTTAGCAAAAGGCTTCACAAGCCTCTGTGAAGAATGGTAACTGAGCAGACACCTGAAAGAAGCAAAAGGAACATGAAAAATGCAAGGGAGTCCCCCATGGAGTACAGAAAAAAAACCATGACAGTCTGGGGGTAGAGGAACAGCAAGTGCAAAGACCCTGAGGCAGGATCAGGTTTGGTATTTGGGGGAGGGGAGGGAGAGCAAAAAGGCTAAAGCAGCTGGACGGAAATCAGTGAGCAGAAGTTCAGGGATTTTAATGGGGGTCTTTGCAGGCCATGGGATGAAGATTCTGTAGCTAGGGAGTATGGTTGGATTTCCATTGATGAAAAGAGCACCCTCGGGGGGCACTGCGTGGAGGACAGGCATGGAGAAACAGGAGCAGGACTGGAGAGGCCAGTTAGGAAGCACTTGAGGTCATCCAAGAGGGACAGAGACAGCAGTTCTGAGGACGGTTGGGAGCGATCAAACTCAAACGTAGCTATGTTCAAGCTTACGGGACCTGGTGATTTGCTGGATATAAGAGAAGGGAATTTGGATATGGTAACTGAGGTGCTAAAAACCTGGCGACGCGCAGTTCCAGGTAGGAATATCCAGAGCTTTGTCTTAAGTAAGCTAAGGCTGAAATTCTTTCTCGCTGTCAAGTGGTGGCATTAAGCAGATGGTAGGACCTCCCTCAGGAGGAAAGTTCTGGCTGGAAATACAAGTTTGGGAGGGTCATTAGCGTTCCTGAGTCTGCAGGGATCAAGGGTCTCCTGGACAGAAAGTGTAAATGGGGGGGCGGGGTAGTGGAGGAAAGGAGAATGCAGAGGAACAGCCAGTGCGGGAGCCCAGGGGGACGGCTTCCCAAAGCCGGAGAGGAAAGCACTTTAAGAAGGAGGGGAGGTCTGCTCCTTCAAAGCGGCTGAGGGGTAACATGAGCACTGCAAAAGGACCGTTGGGTTTGGTCATTGCAGTGGAGGAGAAGGGCTCCCAGCTGAAGAGAATAGGGGTGAAGACACAAACATAGGGAAAAAAGAAATGCATCTGGAGAAGTGTGCGGAGAAGTGCCTAGACTCAGGGAGCTTTGTTTTGTTTTGTTTTGCTTTTTTAATGGGAGCTAATTCATCCTGTTTGTACGTTCATGAACTGACTCAGGAGAAAGCAGCTAACCCTGCAGATGAGAGGGGTAAGGGCCGGAACAAGAGGGGGTGGGATCTGGACCCATCAGGGGGTTGAGCTGTGTTCAGGGCAAGGACGTTTCTTTCATTTCTGTTCCATCCCATTCATCTGTGGCTCGGACATTTGCCTAAACCCACTTAGCTCTATAACTCTGTGGAAGATTTCAATGTCTGATAAAGCAGGAGACACCTTGCTAACATTATTTTTAGTCCTCATTTTAAAAATTAACACATATATTTCCAGCTGACCTGTTTTTTCTTTTATTTTTATTTGTACCAAGTTCATTTCACTTGAAGTGATCATACATTCATATGGTTAAAAATTCCAAAGTTACAAGAGGCATAGAAATGAAAAAACTCTCCCTTTTGCCAGTGTCTCCCAAATATGCATTTTTCCCCACATGGAGGACCAATGTCACCATTTCTTGAATATTATATTAAAAATATTTTATGCATATACAAACACACTTATATTTCTTCTTTCTTTTTCCCTTTTTATATAATCAGTGACACAGAGCTTTGCCTGTTGCAGGCTCCACTGCTCAAATATAAATATTGACAAATATATAATGACTGACAAAATCAGGTTATAGATGAAAAAGAGGGAGGGGGAAGATTCAAACGTCATCAATGCCGTCTAAAAAAATGAAGGAGCAAAAGTGTGGGTAATATCATACTTATACAAGGGGCGCCTGGGTGCCTCAGTGGGTTAAGCGTCGGACTCTTGGTTTCGGCTGGGGTCATGATCTCAGGGGTGTGATATCGAGCCCCATGTGGAGCCTCACCTTGGGCTTCACGCTTAGCGGGGAGTCTGCTTGAAGATTCTCTCCCTCTGCCTCTCCCCCCAATCTCTCACTCAAATAATAAATAAATCTTCCAAAAAATATTATATTTATACAAGTAGCCAATAAAATGAGACTACATACCTTAAATATAAAAACTCTGTACAAAAAGCAAAGAAAACAAACCATATAGAGAAAAACTTTTTAAAAAATGCCCTACTCCCTGCTCGGCAGGGAGTCTGCTTCTCCCTCTGACCCTCCTCCCTCTCATGCTCTCTGTCTCTCATTCTCTCTGTCTCAAATAAATAAATAAAATGTTAAAAAAAAAATGCCCTAGAAACTGAAATACAACATAAAATAATGGGACAGAGCTAATACCAAATGTATGTGTTAATCATTAAATGATTAGAGGATTAAATCACTTATTAAAAGAGAAAGATCTTCAGGTTTTATCCCAAAGCAGAATCCAACTGTATGCTGTGCACAAGAGACGCACCCCATAAAGGTGATTCAGTTCAGTTAAAGAGATGAGCAAAGTACAGCAAAGCATATACAAATAAAAAAGAACACTGTGTTCCTCATAGGAAAATCAGACAGAGCAGAATTCTGCCCCCAAACCATTAGAAATGACATGAAGGGCACTTTGTGATGACCTAATACCCAGCAGCAATATTCACAAGGAATGGTAGGAGACCGAAGAGGAAACAGACACAACCCACCAGCAGGGAGAGGTTTTAATTCACCTGTAAGCATAGGTCAGATTCATGGGACAACGATAGGCATCTATAATCAAGACAGAGTAATATCAATAAACTGGGGGAAAATAGTTTCAGTCATGTCTGGGACAGAGGACTGAGCTTCCTGATATGAAAGAGTTCCTAGAAATTGAGGGGAAAAAACAAAAACTTAATTAAAAAAGAGAAAGAAAACCAACCATGCAAAGGATATAGACAGCTCACAGCAACACCAAGGTGAATAACCCTTACACATACGAAAGACTGCCCAACCTCAGCCACGAGAAGAAAACTAGTTCTAAGAATCACACTGTGATGCACAGTTTCTCACCAAACAGGAACCAGATTCCCAACTTTTACAATATACTGTGTGGGAAAGCGATTCTCTTACAGAGCTGGTGGGATGATCACAATGCTCCGGGTGGAGGCGGTCACCTTGGCAAATCCGAAGGGATTTCTGTGGTGTCCGTGAAGTATGATCAGGAGGCCCCCACGGTTCACGGGTACAGCAAGAACTGCCTTGACAGAAAGAAAACCAGGAAGGATGTGCTGTTAGTGTGACGAGATTTAGCAAATAGAAATACAGGTCATCCCATTAAATCTGAATTTCAGATACACAATGAATTACTTTGGTATACATATGTCCCCTGCAATAAGGAGGTCCCCTGCAGTATTTATGACATGCTCTCAGTACCCCCTGGTTAGAGGTTTGTGGCAAGGTACTTGACATAGGACTTTGGTTAGTCAGGTCAGGCCCACCCTCCTGCCCCTGACCGCTTCCTAGGTTGATAAGCACACCAGCGGTGCTTCAGGTGATCATAGCCTTAGGTCCCTGGCTGAGCGGAGGCCTCCACAGTGAGGGGTGGGCCTGCGCGGATCCACCCCTCAGGAAGTACCGAGGCTGGGCTTGCTATGAGTATAGAGAGCCAGCGAGGCCAAGAAGCGGCCTCCAGCACTTGCAATACACGGAACCATGTCTGCTAGTAATCACCATAGGAAGAAGTAGAGTCGAAGGCCTGAGATCAGACGCATTTCTGCTTCATTCTGCCCCAGACAGCTTTAAGTGGCAGGAACGTCACTGCAAAATTCAAACAAGAACCTCTAAGGTTTTGACTAGTGAGATGACAAGGAAGAACCATAAAATCACAGCTCGGCGCAGGAGCTCTGGGGTGGGCCTCCTGTGGCCCCTCCTTTTGCAATTAAGGATTGAGGAACGTGAGTGCCAGGCACGGGCAGTGTCTTGCTCAGCTCAAACAGAAACCGTTGAATGTCCTCAGCTCAGTGCATCCCCACTGTCACTGCATGCCACGTGAAATGTTTCTTATTCGTAAAGGGTGTTGGGCTGATTTGTACACACGCCTGCACATTCCTCAGACTCATCAAGAGGCAGAGTCTAGACTCCTCACCTTACATCTGGGCCGACCTTAGTGACTCCCTTGTAGCCAATAACATGTAGCAGAAATGAGCGACACAACTTGACAGGTGAGCAACACAGGTGAGAAAAGGCTGGCTGGCTTCTGCCGCCTTCATTCTCGGCTTGCTCGGCTTGGAGCAGAGCTACCGCAAGGCTGCCATGTAGTGAGGAAGCCTAGGCCACAGGAGGCGGCCACATGTAGGTGAGACAGCTGACCACCTCCAGGCAAGCACCAGCATCAACGTTTCCTTCCTACTGCTAATAACTTTTAGATGGGAAGTGAAGAACAGAAGTCATTCCTGGTCTACTTTATCTTCACTTGAGGCCAACAAAAGCCAAAATACTGTTTTTGCTTTGGGAAGATAATGAAATAAAACCTGGTTTTGAATTTTAACTTTCGGCAGCACAGAGTCTTCGGGGAACAAATATAAGGCAATCCCAGGAAGTTGTTCTTTTTTAAAGGTCAGGAGATTTTCAGATGATAAACACTTGATCAGCAATCCAGTTCCCAAGCAAATACCCAGGCAATTAATCACAAGTAGACAAGATCTTTCCTGTGGAGAAAATTTTGCTGTTTTTGGAAAATACAGCTTTGCTTCAAAAAGTATTTGAAAAGGGGGCGCCTGGGTGGTTCAGAGGGTTAAGCGTCTGCCTTCAGCTCAGGTCATGATCCCAGAGTCCTGGGATCGAGTTCCGCATTGGGCTTCCTGCTCAGTGGGGAGCCTGCTTCTCCCTCTGCCTCTGCCTCTCTCTCTCTCTCTCTCTGCCTCTCATGAATAAATAAATAAAACATTAAAAAAAAAAAGTGTTTGAAAAGAAAAGCAAACCAGGGGCTTCTCTACTCTAAAGCCCAATATGGCCGATTTACTTTCATAACGTGAACGTGCTTACTTTTTCCTGATTCTCATGGGCAAAATAAACAGCAAAGTGGGGCGAGGTCTAGAGTGGGACTAAAGTGCTCTGAGCAGCCCCTGAACCTCCCAGATGACAATCCATCCAGAAACACGGAAAAGCAAAGTATTGTGTTAAGTGTTTCTACTAGTTTCCTAGGGCTACTCTGGCAAATTACCTCAAACTTGGAAGCTTACGATAACAGAATTTTATTTTCTCAAGTTTTGGAGGCTGGAATCCTCAGTGGAGGTACAGACAGAGCCACGTTCTCTCTTAAGCCTCGAGGGGAGAAGGCTTCCCTGCTTTTCCAGCTTCCGGTGGCGTCCGGCCAGCAATCCTGTGTTCCTTGACATGTGGCAGCCTTACTTCACTCTCTACCTCTGTCTTCACACAGCATTCTTCTCTGTGCATGTGTCTGCATCTCCTTTCCAGTTCTTAGTAGGACACCCATCAGATTGCATTTAGGGCCCCTCCTCCAGGATGACCCCATCTTCACTTGATTGTATCTGTAAAGATCCTATTTCCAAATAAGCTCACATTCGTGGGTCCTGGACGTCAGGACCCAAACACACGCTTTTTGGGAAACACAGTTCCAACTCATAGCAGTGTCCTAAACAGAGATCTAACTAGAGGGCTGTGGTTGTAGGGATGGCAGGATAATAAACTGGGAGACTTCCCGTGGCTACTTCTTTTGTAGTCTGAAGAACGTGGATTCAAATACTGACTAGCTGTGAAGCTGTGTAAAAGCTATGTCTTCCCTCAGTCTCAGATGACTTATATATAAGTGGGGATTAATTGAGACATATGTGGTCCCAGACCAGCAGCCTGGGCATCACCTCGTGAGAAATGCTAAAGTCAGGTCCCAGCCCAGACCAAATTGAGCTGGAGTTTGCACTTCAAACAAATCTCTAGATGACTCAGAAGCACAGTGAAGTTTGAGAGGCACTTAGCACAGTCCTTGGGACATAATTTGCCAATAAATGCTACCCCATCCCCAAAATCATATAAAGGCAGTTCAATAAAACAGTTGAGTTAAAAAACAGAGGAGCATAAGGGAAGGGGGGGGAAATAAAACAAGATGAAATGAGAGAGGGAGACAAGCCATAGGAGACTCTTAATCGTGGGAAACAAACAGGGTTGCTGGAGGGGCAGGCGGTGGGTGGATGGGGTAACTGGGTGATGGACATTAAGGGGGGCATGTGATATAATGAGCACTGGGTGTTATATAAGACTGATGAATCACTGAACTCCACCTCTGAAACTAATAATATACTATACATTAATTAATTGAATTTAAATTAAAAAATAATAAAAAAAATATTTAAAAAAACAGTTGAGTTAACATTTAATTTAATAACTATGGACTAAAATTAAAAAAGAGAGAGAAAGGACAAGGTTAGGCCATTTTTAAACTACCCAAAAAGAAACTGGTTGACTAGCAATAGGCTGGTAGTGAGATACTAAACTTTAGGACTCTGAATATTTAAAAAAAGAAAAATATTTTTTAATTTATGAAAATATTGCTCATACTAAGTGGGAAAAAGAAATCCAGAGAGGGGAGAGGGTTCAGATACATTTTTAAGACCGTGTTATCTGAGGGGCACCTGGGTAGCTCAGTTGGTTAAGCGTCTGCCTTCAGCTCAGGTCATGATCCTGGACTTCAGAACCTGCATTGGGCTTCCTGCTCAGTGTGGAGTCTGCTTCTTCCTCTCCCTCTGCTCCTCCCCCCACTCATGTGCTCTCTCTCTCTAATAAATATATATATTTTAAAAGACTGTGTTATCTGAAAGAAACTGAATTTGGAGATTACCGGTGTGTAATTCTTGTGAGAATTTTAAAAATTATTTAAATGTATAAACAAAAAAACTCCAAAGCTTGGAAGTCATGTTTCTCTCCCTCAGAACAACAAAGAAGCTGAACAAACTGAAAATCAATGACTTTTCTTACATTTACCAGAGAAACGAGGTCACAGGATAAACCAGCACCCTGAAAACTGGAGAGACAAGTGAATACAGAGACCACGGACCAGCTGACCTAAAGCAGAAGCTGCTGGAGCCAGAATTGGCAGGAACATGTATGTGCTTCAGAAATTGCTGGAAGCTGAGGATGGACTAACCTGAGAGTTAAAAGCTCCTGGAGGCCCAGTTAAAGCAGGGATCCCCCACATTTTCACAGAGTTCTACTTCCAGCACCCCCAGTGGGTTCTCACGTTGAAGACAGGAGAAAAACCCTTCATGTCTGGCTGTGGGTGGGGCAGGGGAGTAGCCATTCTGAAATACATCACAATAAACACTTACCCAGCAAGAGAAAGGAGCCTCCTTAGGGAAAGGAATGTTAGCCAATTCCAGCCAGCCACTTCTAGCCTTCCCATCTCACCTCAGGGGAAAGAAAATTAGCTGAGAAACTTTTATGAAGGTCACAGACAGGGGTACAGACTCACTGAAACACTGAGACCTAATTATAGGATTATAGAATGATTCCCCTCCCCACCCCCTTACCACCAAATCAATAGGCTCCCTGTATAATAACAGGGGGTTAGAGCTAAAAGAACTGCAAGGCCCAGACTCTATCTAAGGAGGAGTTCCTAGGGAAACCCAAAGACAATGAAGAGACAAAAACCAGGACACTAGAGGAAACTGAAGTCTCTGATACTTACAGCCACTATAAACACAGCCTGACTCCTAGCCAGATAAAAATAAACTTCACACCAAAGGCCTATCTACTCAATTCTTATTACCCAATACATCACGTCTAGTTTTTAACAAAAAGTTCTTGCCAAAAGGCAAGAAAAAAAAAACCAAAATCTGAAGAGACAAAGCAAGCATCAGAACCAGACTCAGATACGGCACAGATTTTGGAATGATCAGATTGAGGATTTAAAATCACCATAAATAAAGGTGCTAAGCACACTAATAAAAAGAGTAGATAACATGCAAGAACAGGTGGGTAATGTAAGCAGAGAGATGGAGACTCAAACTCAAAGATAATCATAGAAATCAAAACAACTCTAACAAATGAAAAATGCTCTTAATAGGCTCATTAGTAGGCTGGGCACAGCTGAAGAAAGAATCAGTGAGCTTGAAGACATGTCAATAGAAACTTACTACTGAAATGCAAAGAGAAAAAAGAATGAAAAAAAAAAAATTGAACAAAATATCCAAGAACTGTGGATGCAATTACAAAAGGTATAACATAAGCTAATGGGAATTCCAGAAAGAGAAGTGAGAGAAAGAAGCAGAAGAAATATTTGAAATAATATAGGCTGACAATTTTCCAATATTATTGACAGAAATAAACCATGGACTCTAGAAGCTCAAAAAAACCAAAAACCCCAAACCAAAACAAAACAAAAAACAAAAAAACCCAAGTATGATAAATACAAAAAAATCTACACCTAGGCATATTGTACTCAAACTGCAGAAAGCCAAAGCCAAAGCCAAAATCTTGGAAGAAGCCACTTGGAAAAAAAGACACCTCACATATAGAGAAATAAGGACAAGCATTACACCAAATTTCTCATCAGATTCCATGTAAGCAAGAGAATGGAAAGAAATACCCAGATTTTTAAAAGGAACAAAACAAAACAAAATAAAAACACCAACTCAGAAATTTGTACCCAGCAAAATTATCCTTCAAAGGTAAAGGAGAAATACTTTTTCTCAGATAAAACCTGAAGGCATTTGTCATCATTAGACCTGCACTATAAGAAATGTGAAAGTTTCTTCAAAGAGAAGGAAATGGATAAGGGAGTCAGAAACTCAGATATATGTAAA